ATTAAAAGTATCTTTCTTGCTAGCAAGAAAGATAGTCCATGTAAATCTTGAAAAGTCATCAACAATAACCAGAACATATTCTTTGTTTCCTCGGCTACGGACTGACATTGGACCACACAAATCCATGTGTATTAGTTCTATGGGCTTGCTTGTGCTCACCAAATTCTTTGTTTTAAAAGATGATCGAGATTGTTTTCCGGTGGCACAAGCCGAGCAAACATGGTCAAGTGAAAATTTCATATTCGGCAGTCCAATAACTAAATCATTATTTTTAAGTTTATTTATTAATGAAAAACTAGCGTGTCCAAGCCTTTTATGCCATAGCAAAGGATCGTTATCAATAACGCTCAAACAAGTCATACTAATATTAGGCAATGAATCAAGATCTACTTTATATGTATTTTCGAGCCTCTTGCCTTCAAGTATAACTTGTTGTGATTTGTTACTAACAATGCGACAAACGTTATGATCAAAAACAACACTATTACCTCGATCGCAAAATTGAGAAATACTTAGTAAATTAAATTTCAAGCCTTTGACTAAAAATACATTATCAATAGCATGGCTAGGTGACTTTCCAACTTTGCCCACGGCTATGATCTCTCCTTTGCCGTTGTCTCCGAATGTCACCTTTCCACCGTTAAATGGCCGAAGTGAGAGGAACAAAGATTTGTCTCCCGTCATGTGCTTAGAACAACCACTGTCAAGGAACCAGTGATTGTTCCCCCTCACTCGGCGCTGTTCCAGGGTTAAGGTTTAGTGCGTGGAACCCAGACTTGCTTGGGTTCCATTTTGTAATTGTTTGAGGAATATCTAACATGATCATAGCATCTTTCTAAAGTCTTTTGCCGAGAGTGACATTGATACCGTAGATGACCGATTTTGCCACAATGCATGCAAACCCGGTTATCATAAGTATCAACGTATTTGGGTTTCCATTTACCGTGAAAGCCTCTAGTTCTTTTGTAAAAAGTCCGGTTAGGCGTTTGTCCATAACCGTTTTTGTGCCTCTGAACCAGTCTATCGAACCAGTTTGGTCCAGTTCTAGGTGGCTGTTGATATGGTCTAGAACTGGGTTGTCCTCGGGTTCTATTATCCTTAAAGGGTTGGTTCTGAAAATTTGATTTTTGATTAGCTCGAATATCCTTTGGAACATATCCGAGACCTGCAGTCTCGTTTACTTTCTTATTGTGCTGAGAAGGACCAGTTCCAGAATGATGTCTAGACCTGGTTTTGTTTGTTGCACTATAGGATTGATATTCCGGTCTATTTTTAAAATCAGTGCACTCGGCAACAAGACGATGAAGATGATCAATTAAACAACCAACACTCAGTATTTTTGAGAGAAGCTTTTCATCATGATCAACTTGTTTGTTCATACTATCGAGCTTAAGAGAGCAAATAATTTGATCTTGTTCTAGAACCACTTCACTGTACTTAAGCCTTTCATCTATTAACTCTCCCACTTTTGTTTCAAGCCTTATTTTGGCTCTTGTGGCTTCCTCGAGTTTAGACTCAAGCTCAGTGACACGTGATTTAAGATGATCGTTTTCGGAAAGGCTTTCATTAAGCTCAATAGTCAATCTTTTGAAAATCTTTCGAGTTTTGGTTTTGGATAGAGAGTCAAACTTGGATAGAAAATTTTCAAAGTTTACCTCAAAGCTTTCTTGGTCGGATTCCTCGTCGGAGAGTGCCATAAGACATAGACCTGCATGATTGGTGTTCTTATCATTTTCCTCTTCTTCATCATCAGAAGAATCTCCCCATGCTGCCATCATGGCCTTTTTGAGATCTCTCTTGAACCCTTTGTCTTCGCTGTACCTCCGGTTGGAACTGGACTTGTTCTTGTCGCAGTTCCGATCATTTTTCTTTTGTGAACAGTCTTTAGCCCTGTGCTCAAAGGAACCACAAACAAAACAACCTTGGTTATTAAAGGATTGAGTATTCCTTTTACCTTGTTTGGTACGGTTGTTCTTGAATTTTCAGTACATCCTCCCAAATTGTTTTGCAAACATGCTCATCTCATCATCCGATTCACTCTCGGATTCCTCTTCTTCTTCTCGAGCCTTTAGAGCTATTCCTCTTTCTCGTCTAGCACTCTCGGCATCTTGTTCCTCTTGAAGACCCAGTTCATATGTCAAGAGTGATCCGGTCAGATCTTCAAGAGTCATGGTGGATAGATCTTTTGCTTCTTCAATGGCCGTGGTTTTAGGCTTCCATACTGGGGGTAAGCTTCTCAGGATTTTTCTAACTTGATCCTCCACTGTAATATCTCTTCCAAGGGCTGAAAGCTCATTGATAATGTTAGTAAAACGTGTGATCATATCCTTAATTGACTCTTTTGGCTTCATTACGAATAATTCGTAATTACGCATGAATATGTCAATCTTAGATTTTTTCACACGTGAGGTTCCCTCATGAGTAACCTCGAGCAAGTCCCACATTTGTTTGGCAGTCTTGCATCCTAGAACTCGATTGTGTTCGGCAGGACCAAGACCACAAATTAAATATTTAAGGGCTTGGGCATTATGCTCGAGTTTCTCATAATCTTCAGAAGTATATTCAACTTTAGGTTTAGGAACAACATTACCTTCGGCGTTTCTCTTTGTGATGACATTATCACCGCTTTCAATTACATTCCAAACCTGGTAGTTATCGGCCTTGATAAAGTTCTCCATCCGACTCTTCCAAAATTGATAGTATTTGCCATTGAACAATGGTGGTCGTTGAGTCGAGTACCCTTCTTCCAATCGGTCAACCGTATTCATTCTGCCGGATCTCTTCCCGAGGTATTAGCCTCTATGTGGTGAAGACCGGCTCTGATACCAATTGATGAAAACGGTTAGCAACACAAGAGGGGGGGTGAATTGTGTGTGTGTGGAACCGTGTCAGTTTTTCGCCGAGTTCTAGTGTGGGATAAAGGGAATTGCAAAACAGTAAAGTGCACAAGAATTTAACGAGGAAAAATCCCTTGGCTCAAAGGGATTAAAAAACCTCGACCTCCCTCGGAGGAATTTTAAACAACTTCACTAAACAAGCCTTTGAAAGAGTTACAAGAGTGATTCTCCTAATCTACCCTTGAGCCTCCCCAACTCTATCCTCTCTAGGAAGAGTTATGCATCTCTACCTTGCGGGTAGAGAGCCTCTCAGCTTTGTCACAAAGCTCTCACACACACTTAACCCGAGGCAGCTACTCTAGCCAATTAAGCCTCAATATTCCAAGTACAATATGAAAGGGAAAGGAGAAACTCTATCTAGAACTCCGAGCAGGCAGTTTCAGTCGCCAAGGACTTGATCTTTTCTTGAATGATTCTTCTAAGTATTTTTCTCGGTTCAGCACACCCCTTTCTCTTTAGCGTCTTCGATTATATATAGGCTACCTTGATTTGTCCGTTGGTGTCTCTTTCCCTAAGAAATTGAGCTTCCATACTTGGAACTTGCCTTGATATTATTTGAATTGCTTTCCTTTCATAATATATCTCATATCCGAGCTTATGCAGTATATAAGGCAGCCAAATTAAAATATCACAATCATATATTTAAGATGGCATATCAGTCATAGATTAAGAGAATATTTCGGCTCATTCAAAGTACGTGAGATCAATCAATATTCATTCCAAAAATATTTACTTCATAAGATGACTTTTCAAATTGTAAGGCTGCAAAGTATTTAAGCATCCTACGGTCAGTTGAAACATGAGTCATGCAAAGCCTTTTTTTATTTTTAAAAAAAAACTTTCCATAAAGCATTTTAATCATTGTTGAGGTCAAACTCACTAAGATGGGTGCTTAGTCATGCATGGAAAGATATTTGAAATAACCCACGTATACTTAGATAAGCAATTAATCATGCAAGCACATTATAGCAATTAGCAAGGAGGATACTTTCCATAAAATAAGCAAAGTAATATACGTACCACTCAAATAAGCAAATCACGTATATATTTAAAAAGCACTCATATTTCTTTCCATAAAGTGACTTTCCATAAAGCATATGTAGCAATACATTTCACAAAATATTCAATCAATTATGGAAAGGTATTAATGCAGTAAAATATCATACGTTGAAAGACATGCACATGCAGACACATAACAAATTATGGGACCGAATGTTTCGTGGAACTGTTCTGTCCAGAGTTCATATTAGAACTCTCCGTAGTCGGTTCTGTCCCCCGTTCCACCTGTATGATTAGTCATCAACAAAACCACATACTCAACATTAGTGGTAAAATACTTTTTCAATGTAGAGGCAAATATTGCTTTAAACTTGAACTTTAAAATGATAAAATAGGATTGATTATGAAAACGGTAGGATTTTTCTAGTCTATAAGAATTGAAAAATGCACAAGAATTAAACATTAACCAATACTCTATTCCATAATATATCAATCACTAAATATACTTTACTCCTAAATATACTTCACTCCTATGTGATTGAATTTGTGATTTTAATGATTCACGTGCATCTAAAGAAAACTCATTAACACACCGCATTTACAAGAGTAGATATGTTCCATGTTCAACTTTTGCATGTTTATTCTTTTAGTACACAGTTTAAATGCTCAATGATAATCGCCCATATATATGAGTGTGATTTTATCCATGTATGGGTCCTGGTACTACCCACGTTCACCTAAAGAGAAATCATTGACGTCTGTAACAGCACACACGCACCACATTTACAAGAGTAGATATGTTCCCATGATTCTATCATCAGTACTTGTATGTTCATTCTCTTAGTGCATATTTAAATTCTCAACGTTAATCACCTGTATATATCAAACTTCACATACTTCTATGTTACAACTTAGTTATAAACAAACATGATACACAAGATAAATCATAATATATTGGATTATAATTTACATCAAGTGACTAACGCGTGTCAACATTCATCTTGAGCATTGATGTAGGAGTTAGCCTGTAATACCCATAAGAATAATACCCAACTCCAATGTTATAATGATGGATCCATTTCTAACAATGAGGTTATCCAAGGTGATCATTTAGTGGAATCATAGGTATGATTCAATGGATGGTTTTTTCTCTAAGAACAAGTTGTTCAAATTAATTGAAAGTTTACATCTTTCTGTATTTGATTTAATCTCTATATCTAGGTGAGTTGTCATGATTAATAACCTTTATCAATATGCTCTGTCAGATCGAGCTCTTAGGATAATAGGATTGACATTTCAACTCTTGCAACAATGAGAGGCTGGCTTAAAAAAGGATGACACCCCTCTTTGAAGGCTCTCCAACACAAGTCGAACAATTAGCTGAGTAGATGCAAATTAGACTTTAATCATAAACTGACAGATAGTAAGTAAGACTCCAATTTAAATACTTGCAAACATCATATACTCCGTGCATTTTTTTTATAGCAACCTCACATCACAATTCCTCTATTTGGCAAGTACCTCACCATAAACTAGCTTAAACAAACGAACGGGACTGAGTGCATTTGCTCTTAAGTACGTGCACGGAAGAGATTAAATTGAAGAAAACACTTCGGTGCACGAATCTTACGTACTTTCACAATTTTTTTTAGTTAAAACTTAAAAGGCAGCATCTGGGAATGTGCAAAAAACGGCTATTTAATGAAATCATTATCAAAATGATTAAACATTAAATGATCCAGTTCTGTATTTATTATACTACTAATAAGAATGTTAATTAATAATAAAAGCACTGTAACTTGATTTCTTTCAGCTGGGATCATGCCACCTACTCCGTCTCTTTCTCTCTGATTTGATCAGCTGAGGTTTCTTCACCGCCTCTCTCTCTCCTCAAGCTCTGAGAAATAATAAGTAGATCTTGTTGTTCTTCACGCCCCCTTTTCACGCTCATAATGGGATTTGAGTTTCTTGTTTCTTCAAATTTTGTATTGTTTTCATTTCTTCTGGAAGCTGATAATTTATGTACATAGAACGCGCATTTCGCCCCCCGCTTCCTGTGCGTGTTCTTTCGTGGTTCTGAGCTCCAGCACCGCGATCTTCATGATTGATGTGGAGTCACTGTGTGATGCGTATATACACATATAGATTTTTGTGACTTATAGGGTTTGGAATGTTTGCTTAGGGGGTGTCATTTTCTTCATTTCTGTTTTTGACATTTTGGGTAGCTTTTCATGTCGGAGGGGATTTAGCCTGTCGGGGACTCGTCGGTTTATTTTGATTGGATTTTTCTGAGCTTTTGAAGGACTGATCTCAGTGGCTGCTCCCTGTCTTGCTCCAAACAGCTTTCTTCACTCAGGTAACAAATTGTTGTTATTGATGCTCGATTGTTTTTTCCTTCTAGCTATGAGTGAACACGCCTTTCCACAGGTGGGAATATTGCATGAGTTTATTTTTTGAATCATGAAGTTAATCTTTGAGATCTATTTGCACCTCTAATTTGTGCGGTGTTGGCTGGCTTATGAACATTTCACCTTTTTTAATTCTTTATTTTCAGTTGTGCTCAATAGAAATTGATGCATGGCCTTAGAAGCACAATCTCTGTTTAGTTTTAGTATTATGGCTAGCATTTTGTATTTTGTTGTATCTGAACCACAAGAGCTTTTTGGTGTTTCTTTTCTTCTTAGGTCCATGAGTGCCAACCTTAAAGGTAACTAGGTGTGTGTTGTGCATAGTTGGTCTCTCATCCCCATTGTTTTCTATCTCTCAAATTGATGTGCTTAATATTCGGTGGTTTTCAAGTCTCTAATTATTTGGACACTGCTTTCTAATACTAAACCACGGGAAAGAAATTAGTATCCTTTCGCTTAAAGGTGTTCAAATTTGCGCCCCCTCCTTTTTCTTTCCGTTGTCAAGTCAAGAATATTACATTTTCACGCCGGTTGCTAAACAACAATTATTGTTGTGATAACGTTTCCAAATTTGTCGGTATCTTCAAACTCATTCCACATAGTACTTTGTGTCACGTGTTGGATGAGCGGGTTGCCGTTGTGGATCTAAAAAATGTGTTTTCTCTGACCACCATTGACCAATTCTTGCGTCGGCTATTTATCGCTATATATGGATGAGAATTGAACATATCAACTTAAATGAGATTACTACAATTGGAAAGGTGCCCCTCAAAGGAAGCATATCAGTGTTATTTCTTTCTCCGAATTACCTTTTTCTTTTGTGGAATTAATTACCTATTCTTGTTCTAGCTAGGTACCAGGATGAGCATGACCAGTGAAAGTGAGGAAATGATGACTTCAAAAGGCAGCATAAGTTCTGCATCTATTGAAGAAGCAAGTGCTGGAGGGGGAACTGTTCCGCTGAAGAAAGGTCCATGGACATCCACAGAAGATGCGATTTTGGTTGATTACGTAACAAGAAACGGCGAAGGAAACTGGAATGCTGTGCAAAAGAATTCAGGACTTGCTCGATGTGGTAAGAGCTGTCGTTTGCGGTGGGCGAATCACTTGAGACCCGATTTAAAGAAAGGCGCTTTTACTCCTGAGGAAGAGCGGCGTATTATTGAACTCCATGCTAAAATGGGAAACAAATGGGCACGAATGGCTGCTGAGGTATGGACACTCTCTCTCTTTTAATCAATTGACATGTCTGTGTATATTTGTAGTCAAGTCCAGGTTTTAGTAAAAATCTATTTGAAACCTCAGCAGTTCCTCTAATATAAAATAATCTGTAGGTTTTACAATTTAGGAAGAATGATTAATGAATAATAAGTCAATAAAGTAGCACGAGGAATGATTATTATATACTATGTATTATTTATTGGATAAAATTATAGAGATTTGCCCTACTCTCCTTTAATTAAGTATATGTTGTTGGCATACATTTTAACCCAATTTTAAAAAAAAACATCCTCTCACTGTACGTTAGTAAAGAATGCCACATAAACAAAATTGAGATATCAGTACTTGCTGTTGCTTGTATATTTGAATTTCTATATTAAATTATAAGGATGGTGATTTTGCTAAGTTTTAGAACCACTATTCATTGTTGAATTTGTTGTAATGCTTGTGCATATGGTTGAATGAGTCAAACAGCTTAATTGCTTCCTCAGTGATCGACCCATCCCCCCTCTTATGAAGCTATGCTATTAAAACTTCTTGCTCTGAACTCATTTCCAAATGACCAAATATTAACCTCTTCATTACGAAATATGATATAAATAATCAGTGATACATTCAGCATTTATGTTCGTTTTTGGCTATTTCTTCTCTTTACTCAATATTCCTCTATTAGTATGGCTTTGATGAAAATAAGTGAAATAGTGTGGACGTGTATCCCCACCATTATATTTATTTTTTCCAAAGCTATAAGAATGGAAAGAAATAGAGCGAGGGAGAGAAAAGGAGAATGTTCTCATTTGCTAAGTTCAAAATCATTATAGTTTTCGGATAAAACATAGGCTAGAATTGAGGACTAGATACTCGCAATTTTTTCTCACATTTGACCTGCTTTGTTTACTCATATGTCGAACTAATTTTTCTTTTCTTGTTTTTAAAATGTTTCTTATAATTTTATACGTAGTATTTATTTAATATAACTTTACATGTTTGTGTGTGTGTGCACTTGCTACAACATTGATTTGGTAAATCTGTACACCCACATACACAATCATTTAGGCAATCCAGAATGATCATAATCAAAATTTGTGTGAAATCTTTATTGTTTAGGTAAAAAGTAGTGTCATCCATGGAGTGGTAGCATTGAAAACTTATCCACTTCATCTCTATTATTTCGTTAGATGCAATTTTCTTTCTGGTGTGCCCCAAAATTATGTGAACTTTCCTCATTTGAACTCTAACATCTTTCTCAATATATCTTTTCATCTATCATGTCACTTTTTTTACATTTTATGGGACTTCTATTATCATCTCTTTGAAAGGTAAACGGGTGTGCTTGTGCGCACACACATAGATACATACATACATGTGTGTAGACACACAGAAAACATATTGTCATTATAAAATATTTTCTGTCCAAAAAAACATGGTTGGTCACGGTATAACTGTTTTATTTCAACAAGGTTAATGTGTACGTTATGTAAACTTTATTTTTAATTTAATTCATTCATCATTTTCATTTACCCCAGTGCCGCAAAGGCTCCCACCTATGGTGGGGTAAGGGGGGGTCGGATGTACGCAGTCTTACCCCTGTACAAAAGTACAGAGAGACTGTTTCCGGATGACCCATAGTGAAAATCGCGTCCAAAATTGCATGGACTGACTGCTGCTTCATAACAAAGAAGCGCAGACAGTTTAGTGAGTCATTTTGCTTTATTCCATCATATTCGCAAGCCAAAAAATAATGAATCTTTGGCTCCATTGCATATGATGGAAAGTTATTTTTAATTTAATTAGATTAATTTATTTTCCTGGTTTGTATCATTTTCTAAAGTTTCATGAAAAAATAGCTTTTTATGAAATAAGACATTTTTTGGGCAAAATTAGCTGTTGAAACGTGACTTTTTGGCGAAGTGCTATACAATTCAAGTTGTGAAGTGTTTGAGTCCTGCCTCAGTTGCATGAGCCAAACTGCCAAACACAAAATGGGATTTGAGCTGGTATTTTCTAAGAGAATCTTTTCTACCAAAGGGTCTACTATCACTCACTTAGCTTTTTAATTTTCTCCTTAAGCTTCCCGGTCGTACTGATAATGAGATAAAGAACTACTGGAACACAAGAATCAAGAGAAGACAGCGTGCTGGCCTGCCCATTTATCCTTCAGATCTCTGTTTGAAAACCATAAGTGCAGGAATGCAGGGCACATTTTCAGGTGGAATTACAAATGAAGACATATTACATATGAACACTTCTGACATTCCAGCTGTGGAATTCAAAAACCTGGGACTAAATCATCAGCATTCATACCCACCACCTGTAATCCTTGATAACAACCTGCTGGGACAAGGTCTCAAGTCCTCGTGCATTGACAGGCATTTCATCTCATCTGCGGTTCATCCTTTCAAACGTTTCAGAGGAGGAACAGAGACCGCTTCATTGTTCCCAGGTGCAAACAGTGATCTTCTACCAGCATGCGGTCCCTACCAGCAGAGTAGCATTTCCCCATATTATTTTGATCATGGATCTTCTTTTGGGGTGCTTTCTTCTTCTTCTGGTCACCACCATCCATTGTTGTTGGGTGGTGTTATTCCAGGCAGCCATGCCTCATTAAATGGCAACTCCTGTTCTTCTTCGCCTGAGCCCTCCTCATGGGATAAGAAGCTGGAGCTCCCTTCACTCCAAAGTCACATGGGTAGCTGGTACTCATCACCAGACACCATTGTTGACACCTTGATTCAATCACCCCCTTCAATTGAAACAAGGAGTCCTTCCCCACGAAACAGTGGCCTGTTGGATGCTGTGCTTTATGAGTCACACACAAAGAATTACAACAATCATACTACTCCTACTTCATACCAACAGATTTCTGATGTTTCCCCTGGTAGTGCCATATTTGATACTAATAAGTTACGCTCCAATCTTAATGAGACGACAGGATGGGAAGCATATGGAGATCCAATCTCCCCTTTAGGCCACTCATCTGCTTCTGTGTTTAGTGAATACACCCCCCCTGTCGATGCAGACAAGCCACACTCAGCTGGGACTGCAATAGGTGAGTATGTGTGTCTATGGGACGACTTATATTCAAAGAATATGTGCTTTTTGAAAGAAGATAAGAACTTTTACTCTTTTTTAAGTGCTTTAGTGATAAAAGAAACACATTTTTTGTGCTTATTTAAGAAATACAGGGCTGGTAATTTTCTTCTTCTTCAAAAAGCAGAAGCACTTTAAGTGCTGAAATGAGAAAGGATCTCTTATAATAGCATAGAAGCACGTTTAGTGCTTAGATGAGAAAGCACCTCTTATAAAAGAATTTATAGCATAAGCCATCCCAACAGTCTCGATCAATTTTCTAATTAATTAATAGGCTAGTCTCTTTTGTCATTGTTTCTCTTGTAGATGCGAACTGTGCTGTGAATCTTCTGATGATTCTACTCCACTATGGCTTTGTAGGATTGAAAGTTAAGGAGGAGGTGGAGGAGGAGATGGAGTGGTCTCCCCCGATTCAGTATGATGAATCAAACCAGTATATGTTTTCCAGGACAGACTTGCTTGCTTCAAACGCTTTTCGCCATCAAACAAACCACCACAATAAGAATCATTCTGTACTGAAAGAGGTATTTGGGGCAGTTCTGTTTGATGATCTTAGCAGGGAATGCAAGAACTTAAGATCCATGGCCACTCCGTCAGGAGCTTGTCCTTGCCCATGGGATGCCATGTCCACCGTGTAATCCTTTCCCCTTCATTTCTGGAGGAAAAAATTATCAATTCAGATTCCCAGCTTTTCCTTCTGAATGACTGGCCACCTTACAGAAAAAATAGAACATTTTTATCAGCTGATACATTGTGTGACCTGCTTCTTTTTCTTTTTAGTTGTATTGGTTCTTTGCAGACATCAAAAACTGAAAAGCTGTATGGTGTCAAACCTGCAACTGATTGTTTTTCGATTCTTAGTCATTTCCATAAAACTTTACTTTTGAAAACTAAGATTGTTGTGCCTATCATTTTGGTGATGAACTCAGCTTTGCTTTGTAGAGCAATCCAAATGGGATTTTATTTTTATCTGATGTTGTTAGTAGCAAATTAAAGCACTCGTTCTCTTTCCTTCCCAGCTCACTATTATAGTCATATCTGCTTGTGTGGCTCACATGTGATTGTGTTGTCATCTCCAGAATGTTCCGTAGACAATTCATGCATATCTTATTCTTCATGATGCCATCCCAGATATGGAAGGCATAAAATACAGATTTGTTTATAATAATTCATCGGAATTTTCCTCCCCATAGGCCATAACGTGTCTTCTTCGTGATTCATGCACATCGTTCATTTCTTCTTATGGAAATTATCTCATATATATTTTGTGATGGACAATGGTGAATGTTTTTGCCTTATTGACCGTGAGGTTTGCTAAGGTAGATGTCCACAGGAGTGGTGTTTGATGGATTTTGATGTGAGCAGCGGTGATGTTTCCCAGTTCCCAACTTCCCACTAGGGATGGACTGGGACGGGACCGGGCGTCGGGATGGGATTGGACGGGCTTCGGGCTTAAGGAGTTCAGGCCCGGTACCAGCCCCAGTTTGTACCGGGACCAGGCCCAAACAGTACCGGGTCGGGCTTTGGGACAGGACTGGGCATTCAATTACAAAATAGTGCAGTCAGGTTTGGATTCGGGCCGGGTCGAAAAAACGAGCCCAAAGCCCGCCCTTATAGCCATCAGGACGGGCCGCGGGACGGAATCGGGCCTATACAGCAACGGGCTGGGGCTAAATTGTACTGGATTGGGCCCGGGTCAGGCCGACACGTCCCATCCCTATTTCCCTCTGATGGGAGACACTAACTGAGAGTAGTGGTAACTTCAGTGATTAGTGGATCCCTATTTCCCTCTGATGGGAGACACTAACTGAGAGTAGTGGTAACTTCAGTGATTAGTGGATGCGCATTTGTTTAGTTTTAAGGTTTTGCAAGGATAGGGGTAGTATGATTGCAACACTTTCATATTAGTTGTATTAAAAAAAATAAGAGCCTGTTTGGTAGCACATGCTTTCGGATTATCATTCTTATTAGTCAACTTTTTTTTAATCAAATACGTAATTTTTTATTTCACACATTAATTCATTAAATAGTGCAATAATCAAAATAAATAACGTTACAGTTATTTTTTTTGGTCGGATTGATTAAATTTGTTGAATACACCTATTTCAGTTTTCATATAATATTTTCTTTATTTTACACATTGGCTCGGATGTTGTTGTATTTTTATTTTATTATTAAAATACATTTTAAATACGTAGTATATTTTTTTATAGTTCAATATATTCAACTAATTCAATTGATTCAATTAGAAAATCACCAATTTCAACATATTTAGCCATTCTGACTTCCAATATTACCAAATGATCTCTAAATCTTGGCGAATATGTTGAGAAAATATCCTTATATGTTAGTTCCCTAGTTAACTTTCTAATATTTCTTCTTTTATGATGAAACAAAATAATAGTCGGGAAAGAAAAAGGAAACTGAGAGCATCTCCAATGGTAAAACGTGAACGGTGCATACGTGGCATGAGAGATAGCCAATTAAAAAATAATAAATGGAATATCTCTCTCCTTATTTGAATGATCTTGTATCATTTTGGTAAGTTTGTCTTCACAATGTCAAGCACAATGTCTAGATGTAGACATTGTGCTTGACATTGCAGAGGAAAACTTACCAAAAACACATAAAACCGTGGAAAGAATGTGAGAGAAATGTCATAAATTCAATTTTTTGTGTCTATCTCTCTCATGCCACATGTGCACATTGTAGCATTGGAGATGTTCTGAGTTAGCCAAACGAGCCTAAAGGTAAAGGGTCTATCATAGTCCAAAATGTACTCGAGAAAGAGAATTAAAAGCTCAAGATCAGTAGTTTCTCCTTTCTAGTAGCATTATTCCGAATCCAAATTTAACAGTCAAATAAAATGTAGGCAAAGTGGGTTACTAGTTACTACTTACTAAGTTACAAGTCAATTTTTTGTTATGTTTTTTTCTCGCATCCCCTAGGCATATTCATCTAGGGATGGACTGGGACGGGTCGCCTGACCTAGGCCCAGTATTGTTTTGACCCGCCCGGCCTGCTAGTGTATAAGCTCAGCCCTGGCCCGGGGCCCGGCCTAGTGGCTATAAGGGCGGTCTTTGGGCTCGATTTTTAGGGCCCAACCCGACCGGTCCCGGGCTCAATTGCACCATTTTTTAAATTTATTACACAGTCCCATCCCAAAGCCTGGCCCAACCCGGTACTGTTCAGGCCTGGCCCGATACAAAACCGAGCCGGTACCGGGCCTGTAATCCTGAAGCCCGCGCCCGCCCAGTCCCGGCCCGAAGCCCACCCCGGCCTGGTCCCGGTCCACCCCTATATACATCTCTCAACTCACAAGAGTCTCATGTTCAATGTTAGTGAGAACCTTGTGGCTACCGATTCTGCTATACCTTGCTGAATCGATGAACTGAGGGACAAAAAGTGTTTCAATTTCAGGGTCGGTCATGGGGGAGGTAGCCTAGACATTTGTCTAGGGCCTCCAAATTTGGTAGGGCCTCCATTTTAAAAAATAATAATATTATATATACCTTAAATCTTTAATTAAATTAATTAAAATACTTAAAAATTGGTGTAGAACAAAAGATACGTTGATGCAAAAAACCAAATTATCAAGATTAACCATGTTTGGTGATATATTAGAAAATAATGACAAATATAGATCTAAATAAGAGTGAATAAAATATGCCTTTTTATACTTTAGTGACTATAACTTTAATAATCATGAATGTGTTAACTATAATGCATATGCATAGACAATAATTCAATATCCTAATTCAAGTATATTTAGAGAGATAGTTTTGATGTGTACGTATATAATATAATGAGTTATTAGTTATAAATGTATTATTTTTAATATTTTATTATCAAATTGTCACTTAAGAGGGTTAATTGTTTTCTAAAATAGAAAGTGAAAACATTTAGTTGAAATGTCTAAATTAGGATGTCCTTTAAATTTTCAGGCCCCAATCCTCCCCAAATTTGTAAGATAGTTATATATTTTATATGTTAGAAGATTGTGTAAAAGATCATCACGAAAAAACTAACCAAGCCACATTAATATTTCTTTGTGGCTATGTCATTCCTATCTGTTTCTTATTATAGTTTTGTATTTTTTACTAAAAAATATATTGAAGTTATACTCTCTACTCCGCTAAAATTGTCTCATCTTTCATTTTCAGCCTATGCATTAAGAATGTCACATATCAAATTTGACAAAATTTGTGTTGTTCGAAAGCATACTTACTTTATCACTTCAATATCAACCACATAAACTAGCTTTTCTTAATAATTGTAAAGCTTTATCATAACCTAGCGTTAGTGAGACGTGAGTACATTGTATCTCATAATTAAATACGAAGTATTATTTGGTTGTCTAGGGCCTCAAAATTGCTCTAGACGGCCCTGTTCAATTTAAACCCAGAAAAATGTTGTTTGACATCGTGTTGAACATGCTTTTGTGATATTAACATGTAGAGGGTGGGGTGCGGCTCTAACTATCATTACAAACAAACATTTTCTGAACATACGAGGATGGTGGAATATTTTTCGTTATGTAACACTGTTTTGGTGGTTTTACACATGTCCATTCTACTATAACAGATCATTGCTGTGGTAGTAGAAAAACTACAGGATCATAAGTCAGGTCCTTTGCCGTACCCTCCTGCCATCAGTATCCCCACCACTGTCAGAAAGCTGTGCCCAAACACTACGAGACTTCCCAGCTCCACTGCTGCAACCATCAACTTCCTCACAGCCAGCCACTGTCTTCAGAAGTTCTGACTGAAGTGACGGGCAGTTTTCTTTTAGATATTTGAATCCATCTGATAGCATCACAGCTGCATATATATGGACAGCCCCTCACAAAATTACTATTTTTACTGATAATAAACAAAAATAACAGCAACATAACTTTTACCATTCACATATTGTGCCAACTTCATTCATAAAATGTGTTTTTCTAATCTAGGAACACCCATGTATACTAGTGAACCCATCCACCTTGCAAGGGCGGAGCCCGCCACTAGTGCTCGGAGGTAAAACCCAGAACCGTGCACACCCACCCCTGTAAGACCATGCCAACAGTTAAAACATCCCGAGGGACTACAGGATCACATTAGGTGGCATGTGGACTTAATGGCAACACCAAGCTTAAATACTTTTATGCTGGCCTTGGAACCTGGGTTGCAAGACCAAGCTAAAGTACTTGTGTGAAGAGCTTTTAAGACCATTGGACTACCAACCTTCTGTTTCCTAAATGTGTATGTGGTTGTATATTCAAGGTATTTTTACTTCTGGTAATATCCTGGGTAATGAGGAGACGAGGAATGTAAACACTCCTCAAATGAAGCACACTAAATGGAGGGGTTAAATGATGTATGGATGGACTAGCAGTGAATGAATGAATAAAGAGAAACGTGCATGGATAAACCGTTTAAAACCCGACTCGTCTAAATGGAAATCTTCTTGGGTTCAAATTCTAGGAGAATCATGCAAATCGCAAAATAATATGTAAGCTTATGTTCGATACCAGGAAGATGGTATGGAAAGGAAGGAAAAAACAAAAACAAAACAAAAAAACTATAGATTTCAAACCACCAGGGAATATTATTCTTTATATTTGGTTTTGCTATTTTAGGATGTTTTTACATGGACTGTTTTTCTGTCCCAAACCAAACCAGACCAGACTTACACAGACCAGACTTAAACAGACCAGAACAAATCAAACTTCAATAGAGACTAAACATTACCAGACCGGACTTGAATAGAACAAACCAGACTAAATCACACCATAAAAATTCAGTCCAATTAAATAGAACAAATCAGACCATAAAATTTCAGCCCAATTAAAAACATCCTTACTTTGGGAAAAAAGGAAGAGCAAATTTAAAGATTTCAATTTTGTTAAATATATTAAGATTTCACAGTCTCTAAGTCTTCATATAATAGAATATAAAAAGACAAAGTGTTGAACACATAAAAGTCATATACTGATATGTTGAATTTGAACCATTTTTTTTTATTTTCTT